TGCCACCCCAAGGCTCCAGAGCCCTGCCACCCCAAGGCTCCGGAGCCCTGCCACCCCAAGGCTCCAGAGCCCTGCCACCCCAAGGCTCCGGAGCCCTGCCACCCCAAGGTTCCTGAGCCATGTCTCCCAACGGTCACTCCAGCGCCAGCTCAGCAGAAGACCAAGCAGAAGTAATGGGGTCCATAGCCAAGCAAGCCCTTGGGGAGCCAACCACCGGATGCTGAATCCCCTCTCCCATTCTGCTTCTGTGTCTTACCTACAATTAGCATGCTGTCACCCTGAGTCATACCTTCCCTCTTTGCACCCTCTACAAGATTTCCCCCTCCCATTGCTCTAGAGGGCTCTGAGCCTCTGAATGATGCTGAGAGTCTCACTGGCTGAGCTACTCTTTTAAGTGCTCAGGGCTCATCTAAAGAGGGGCCTGGGATTCAAGTGGATCTTTCCTGCCTTCTCCCCATTAAACCACTTTTAACTCCACAGCTGGCTGTGCTTGTCATTGGCTGACTCAACTTTCTCGTTGTTCTCTCATCATGAAGCAGCAAAGGGCCTGGCATAGGCACTGAGAGCATGTGTGTGTGTGTGTGTGTGTGTGTGTGTGTGTGTGTGTGTGTGTGTTCGTGCGCTGGCAATGGGTCAAGGCTACCCAGAGCCCATTACTTTGGGCAGCCCTAGCTAGAGCAGAACTTCTTTTGCACCTGAGTGAGTTCTATGAATGTAGATGATACATGTTTCAAGCCATCTCTGACTCAATCCTGGCCCCCAAGTTGCCCTTTTTCTGTTTGGTTTATTTCTTTATTATTATTTTTTTATTCCAAAGAAATAGTGCTCGTAAAAATTCCAACATGATTATTCATGCATCCTCCTTTGCTGATGCCCCAACACATGGAGCCAAACCCTGAATCACTCATACTCACAGACACACATACACAGACTTCTGCACACACTGACACCCCAAATCACATGACACACACACATACATGCTGATTTGATCACCCTATTCTGTCTTTATCTTTCACTGAGACCCCTGTGCTATGGCAGGACAAAGGAAAGTAGAATCCACAGTGCCTGCCTAGGAGAAGCCTAAGGGGGTGATCCTCACCCCTTTCCATATCAATAGACATTCATGCAAATATGCACTGATACCAAAGCACACACACACCTCCCCCTGCTCACTTGTGCCCCCCCTTCCCCTCAGCCCCCCTCCCCACATATACAGGGTACCTCTCCAAAGAGACCATAAAAGTAAATTCATCAAAGAAGAAAAAGGAAAGTTTAGGTAGGTTTCAGAAGGAAAACTGTTTAATGCAAATAAGACAGTCAGCCTGAAATTAAGGGAAAGCAGGTCATCACCAGGTAAAATGTTAGGGTGAAAGGACACTTGAAAACACCTAGCAAGCCCATTCAGCTTCAAGATGAAACTGATATCCTTCCCCAGAAAGGGAAAGATAATTCATCAAGACCACCCAGAAATCATATTTCTGAGTCATATCCAGGGTTCAGCTCTTCAGATTCCCACCATCGGCTCTCTCCCTATAGCCACGTCTTCTTGACTTTGCTGGTGACCAGCAAAAAGTCTAGAGGCTGAGAGATCAACAGAATTTCCAGTGGGGCTGCAGTGGTCACTGGGGAATGAACCTACTTATGAAATAACATCAAGCAGATATGAGGAAGGCAACAGGTATCAGGTGACAGGTGTGTTGCCCATCATCTGCCTCATACCTGTATGATGCACAAGCACTCCAGATATGTCTGGAAAGAACTCCAGAGAAATTTGGAGACTATAAGACAAAAATTATCCAGCAAACTTTGCAAGCTGATGAGTAATCATCAGACTGGGAGGAGAGAATGATGTCACCTGGGTATGCAAGGTTTGTGCATGTCCAGGGGATTTCAAATTGCTGCTTGTTGGCATGATGGGTAATGTCAGCAATAACTCTAGGAGCAGTCACCATTACAGGGGCAGGTCGTGACTGGGGACACTGGTTGGTGACACACAGCTGTTAGGGGCGTAAAGTCAAGAAATGATCTTAAAAATCCTTACACATCTGCATGCCTTCTGAATTCCACTGGGAAATATGCATTCAGACACACAATGATTTATTTATAAGAGTATCATCACTTCAACATTATATATAATAGTGAAAAAAATTAGGAGGGAAACAACAACATAAATTCTCCCAAAGAGAAAGTTGATTGAACAAATCATTTTATATCTGTCATGAAATATAATATGTTCATAAAATAATATTTAGTCATATGGAAAAATGTTCAGACATTTTCAAGATCATGTAAAATATGGCATGTGACACATAACATCTTTGTTAAAAATGTATGGAGATATGTATAAATTTTTAAAAATCTGGCATAAAATATAGCAAAACTTAATCAGAGACTATATTGGGCTGGCGAATAAAAGATATTGGTTATTTTATTCTTTGAACGTCTCTATATTTTATTTATTTATTTAACTTATTTATTTTTTCATTTATTTAGATCACGCAGACAGTGGTGGGGGGGCAGAGGGAAAGAGAGAATCTTAAGCAGGGTCCAAGCTCAGCGCAGAGCCCGACACAGGGCTTGATCCCACGACCCTGAGATCATGACTTGAGCTGAAATCAAGAGTCAGATGCTCAACCAGCTGAGCCACTCAGGCACCGCTAAATGTCTCTATATTTTAAACACATTCTACATCATAGATTAGGATTATGTTTATTTATAACACTTCTTTCACATGTTTAAAAAAAGCCAAAGCAGTCCAAGATGTTGATGAGCTAGAGAAAATACGTTTTCCAGAACCTCCTCAAAGTCCTGCAGCAGTTTCCAGGCCAGCTGCCCACAAGAAAAAGAGGCAGGTACAGTTAAGCCTTTTTAAAATGATATTCTATACAAACCCTGCGACCACCAAGGGTTAAATAAGGTTATGGAGCAGGTGTGAGCTCCTCTCCCCTCTGCTCCTTTCCTCTTCAATAATAGAATGCCTTTCTCCCAGCCAACAGTAGAGGGCAGGATACTGCTTTCGGGTGAGGAATTTGAGGGACTAACTGCACGCGGGTTGGTTGACTGTAGGTGTATGGTGCGGTTGCAATCTCACCTGCGCAGTTAAAGGAATGCACATTTGATTCTCTTCATGGATAGATCTTGGTTTCCTCACGTTCACGTTCCTCCATCCTAGGAGCACCTCAGTTTCCACGTGTGCTGAAAGAAAAAGAAGATAGTACCTAGTTTCGATAAGGACAGTTCAATAAGGGAGTTCAGCTAGACTGTGGGCTGTTTTCTCCTGTGTCTGCCTCAGAAGAGCCTCTTTTCCAGCTGGCTTTCTGCGTCTGCCTACCTAATGTCCTTGACTCTCCACCAAGTTGCTCCTCCTGTAACCCTTTCTCCTCCTGTCTCTTTTCTGCTGTATGTTTAACACCCCTACTCCAGGCACCCCACATTTCTGCAGAACCAGGTGTCTGCCAAATGGTAGGAGCTTATTTGATGTCTGCTGGGATGTTGAATTGCCTGTACCTTCACCAGAAGATGCTGTGGATTTGAGGGGAATTCTGAACCTTGCTCTGTGAACGCTCAGTGCCTGTGTCATTCAAAGTGCCAGGTGAAGTGGGGCCTCCAGTCCTGAGCCTTTGCCTGACATAGCATCATGGCTGCCCAATCCTGTTAGGATTTTCACAGGGCTTGGGTGTTAGCCCAGCTGTTCCACTTCCCTAGGACAGGGGCCTCCTGACCCTACAAATGGCTATTCCTCATAATTGTCACTCTTTTAAAATGTGATTCTCAATCTGTATTAGAGAATCAATCAGGTGAGATGGAATTCTTGTTATTCATGTCTTTTTTTTTCAAGAAAACACATAACATGTCAGGGTATGATCTCTTGGAACATCTGCATCGTTAAAAACCTTTGGTTTCATGGTAATAATGATGATTCTTTCTTTCTTTCTTTTTTTTAAAGATTTTATTTATTTATTTGAGACAGAGAGAATGAGAAACAGAGCATGAGAGGGAAGAGGGTCAGAGGGAGAAGCAGACTCCCCGCCGAGCAGGGAGCCTGACGCGGGACTCGATCCAGGGACTCCAGGATCATGACCTGAGCCGAAGGCAGTCGCCTAACCAACTGAGCCACCCAGGCGCCCAATGATGATTATTTCTTATGAATAAAATTTAGAATTTGAATCCTGGAGTTTTTGTTGAATTCAACCAACATTTGTTGTTTCACAAAAGAATTTTCTTTGATGACATAAGAATGGAGGATCTTTAGGGGGCGGAGCAAGATGGCAGAGGAGTAGGAGACCTGGATTTTGTCTCCTCTCAGGAATTCAGCTGGATAGG